CATAATGTAGTGTTACCTATGGCCTTTATAGGTACCAAAAATCTGCTTAATATCACGCTCCTGAAAAGAGTGACTAACATCTCCGCGGATCCTGCATCTGTCAGTTTTTTTCTTTAAAAATTAGTATCTCAAAATCTATAACTCCCAGGTATAGGGAATATTTAATAGTGACCGAAAAATCCGAAAATGCATTAATATACAGGGTGTGCCATTTAAAATAATGAAGTTGGAGTCGACTTCTGGTATAACTGAAAGTGTGAGAGAGATGTAGATATTTTAGTTTTGTTTGCCCCAGGTACATTGCCATGTTGCCAAATTTTTAAATTTTTCGGAGCAGTCGATCGATGCAGTTCCCGGTATACAATTCTTTTTTTTATTTGTGATGACATACTTTGTAGTTTATATCATATCTCATTCTAAGATTTCTAAGTTAAAACCACTCACCATGACAAGAGTAAATAAAACAACATTACAGTTACAATAATCTATATTCAATATCTGTTCACTGTTATACAAATAAGTAAAATAAAAATAATATACATATATTTTTCTACAAGTAATGTAATTTAAAATAAATTTATCGTAATTTTAAAATATTCAACTAAACCTACGTTTTTACAGTGTATTTATGGATTCTATGATAAAAATAGTTACATAATATGAAAATGAATACGATTATTTGTTTCTAATTATCTGAGAAAAATAAATTAATGGCACATGATTGGACTGTCGTTGAACATGAATGAAATATATATATATACATACATTCACAGTCCCACTTTCTGTTTAGTTAGTGCACTCTTTACAGATACTCAAAAAACTATGCCTGAGGTAATATAAGATACTTACATCCCATTACTGGGCTTTAAAAATATTTTAATTTAAAACAAGGAAGCAAAATATCTTAGTTGAATATCAACATTTTCAAGAAACCAAAAACTGCTGTAGCCGCCTATTGCTTTTCCCCCGATAATTAGAAACATTTTTGCGGCCCTATGTGGAAAACGAAAAATATATAACAATATAAAAGGAATGCAGTGATTTATCAATTGCTTGTACTGTACTTTGAACTGTATTTGTTTGTATGTATACAATAAATAAAACAGGGTCTATAGCCTATGTAAAATTTAACTAAAAATAGGTGTCCCGAACAGTTTATTGCAAAGTTGTCGATTTGTACTATTTCGGTAAAAAAAATTGGCGTTTTATTGTAAAACGAGAGATAAAAAAAATCTGAAGTGTCGTTTCTCATTTCTGAGACACTTATTCCCTACAAACGTACAATGAATCGAATACTTACATGACTTAACGAAAACAAACGTAAACAATGTTAGTGATATGTATATGTCAAATATTAAACAAAAAAAAATAATATAAGGATCTCGTAATAATTATTTACAATAACGTCAACATAAAACACAAACAAATCCTTTCGCGTTCAATATGTTAAAAGCACCAAATTTATACACAAAAAAAACTATTAAAAATATACAGAGGTAGTATGGTAGGATAAAAAAACTAATGCTACACAAAAAAGGTATACAAAAAAAGTGGCAAGATGTATATATTATATTATGCTAAATAGGTATTGTTTTCAACCTGAGGGTAGTCTATTTTCCTAGTTAAAAAGTAACCGTCAAACTGTCTTCAAAAATACCATCCTCAAAATTTCAATTACAATCTATCAATCGTGTACACGTCTAAATTCATCTTCCCAAAACGTGAGAAAGAACCTAACAGGAAGGATCGGTTCTCTTTCGTAATACTAGATGGTAAAATGTAAAATAATAATTATTTCCACGAGAAAATGTGAAACAGGAGTTTGAAAACTTGTTCCACAAGATTTTCCTCTACAAACGTATTTTAATAAGTTGAGTTCCAAACTGATAAATGTGAATTCATTGTTACATTTTTGGAAAAAAGTCTCAAATCCATCACAATCCTTTTCTATTAACAAAATTTAGCAACTAGTTTGAGGGTCTACAATATGTACCCCACCTTCAGATCACTTTTTATACTTTTTAATAATTGTGTATTTCAGTAAAAGGGAATTTTTAATTTTGCTAGCAAGCAGTAAATGTTACAAAATGCAATAATTAATTTTGTATCTAGAACGCGAAATGGTACTTTGGCGTTCAAGAATGGAAGTTATGGAAGAAATATCCATTCAAGTTACGGACGTTTAAAAATGGCAGTCAAATCAATGTTTCAGTTACTTGTTGCAGTATATTTCATTATTATTAATATTAATTAATCGTCAGCAGGTATCTTTTTTATATCTACTGAGATTTATTACCTGATTGTAATAAAGAATTATAATAAATTGAACTTATTTCATGTTACGTCTTACATTTTCATTATTTAGACAGGGCACCCAATTAGATTACCCGTAGAAATACAAACAAAAATTTTATTTTATTTTTTTACTCAAAAACTACTTATTTCATGATAAAGATAAAAGAGATGAAAAAGTTTCTAAATTAATCTGTCTCTCCAAAAGATGTATTGCAACAATTGAAATCCTAACGAGTCAAATGTTTTCATGAAAAATATACAGGGTGTTGTTGATTTCACCCGTTCATTTTAACGAAAAAATACTTGTTATGTGGGCCTCAATCAGTATAACATCTGTACCAAAATTCAGGATTTTATCTGTTTTCAAATTTGAGAAAAAAATTTAAAACTCGATTTTGACCGCCACTCTTAAAAGGCCACAACTCTGTAACAAATCGTTTCCGGACATACGTCTATAGGAACTTTTTTTCTTATTTTCGATTCCCAATTCGTATTTAAAATTTTTGCATGTAATCCTAAAACACCCTGTATACAACAATTTAATTTATATTTGAAATTGTTTGAACCGTGCTTGAATCAAGAGGGTTTAGGCGCGGTGACTATCATAATAATAGCAACCTAATAGACAATAAAAACTAGTTATTTGAAAAAGTAGTGTCAGAATTATATATTGTAATTCATATTCTAAGAGTGTTTAATTCAAAATGAGCTCGGAAAGTGAAGACGAGCATTTACCAAGGGAAGTATTGGAAGCGGCACAAAGTGCTGTTTCACAAATGGTCGAGACAGTACGAGATTGCCTACAACGAATTCAAAAGGTGGTGTAGTTCGAAGAAAATTAAAAAAGTGTTCAAAGCAAAGTTACTGGCATATTTCGAACATAAAATTGACAAATTTAAACCTACGACATTATGGTCAGTATATTCCATGTTAAAAAGTACTCTGAATGTAAATATAAGAAAATTTCCAAAACTAGTACCATATTTGAAAAGCAAATCAGTTGGATACCGTCCGAAAATGTCCAGAATTCTAAGGAAATTGAAAGATTTTTACAAGAAGCACCTGACAATAGATTTCTGATAGAAAAGGTAATNAAAAGTACTCTGAATATAAATATAAGAAAATTCCCAAAACTAGTACCATATTTGAAAAGCAAATCAGTTGGATACCGTCCGAAAATGTCCAGAATTCTAAGGAAATTGAAAGATTTTTACAAGAAGCACCTGACAATAGATTTCTGATAGAAAAGGTAATTCAAATTAATATAAATCAATTTAAGTAATTTAGGACAACTTTTCAAGTCAATTTAATAGTTGCTATTTGTGGAGTTTTGAGAAGAGATGAGCTACTAGAGATAACGATCGATAATATAAAAGACAAAGATTCAATTTATTATTAGAAGAATTCCCGATTCCAAAACTCATACTCAGAGACATTTTATGATTTCAAGTCCACACCAAATGAAGATATACTGCAAATACTGTGCTTTACAAGGGACCGCCTAGCCGGGTGTCTTGGAAGATGGATTTCGACCGGCCGAGGTAAGCATCACGGATGCAGGCTGGAACTTGGATGAGTGACCTAAGTCAGGGAAAAATGTGTTAACCAAATGGTTGGCGTCAACAAAATAAGAAATGTACCAAAACAAATAGCAACTTATCTTGATTTGCCTCATCCGGAAACAGGACATTTCTTTAGATGTTCTTCCGCCATTCTGTTAGCCGACGCAGGGGCCGATATTACCGTCATTAAACGACATGGCGTGTGGTGTTCTAGTACAGTAGCGGAGAATTTTAGAAGATTCTGTACAAAATTAAATTAAATAAATTGTAACCATCTTCAGCAGAGTCTACAGAGCTTCCCAATAATACAACGTGTGCAGTGAACTGAAACAATTACAGCGGCAGTCTCATTGAACACCCATAACTAAAAGCTACGATAGTAGGTACTAGGGCACTTGAGACCACCCCCCACTCCTCCACCTTTTCCCTTCCCCCTCCCCTTCCCCGCCTTAGCCGTTGTTAGCCGGTTATTAGCCGTTGTTAGCCGGTTGTTAGCCGGTTATTAGCCGGTTATTAGCCGGTTGTTTGCCGGTTGTTAGCCGGCTAATAAACGGCTAATAACGGCTAAGGCGGGAAAGGGGAGGGGGAAGGGAAACGGTGGAGGAGTGGGGGGTGGTCTCAAGTGCCCTAGTACCTACTTACGATAACTGACAGCACTGGATCTGGCTTAAATTTAACTCACTGCAATATCGGCACTTTCAATTTACATGTAGTGCAAAATAAATTGTAATCGTCCTGTTTATAATAGTTACTGTTTTGTATTGAAGTGTTATATTACTTATAATGTATATTGTTTAATTAATAAAATCATAAATAAGTTTCGAAATAATGACAAATTATTTTGATATTTGTTTTATGTTCTAGAACAAAAGACTTTGGCGTTCTAGAACATAAAAATATTTTGCAGCTAGGTGACAAAAAAAACTCGCCTTGTTAACTGAAAATTTAACGAAAAAGTCGAGTTTTCAAAAAAATAATATTTAAACATATATATCTACATAGAGGGTGTTCTTGAAATAAATTTCAAAATTTTAACTCGTCGAAAGCAACAACTTTTGTTTAATTTCATATTTTTTGAAAACCTATTGGTTTTTAAGATAATACAATTCTTAAAAATTGTTAACTTTTTATTATTCGCTCAGGAATAAAAGTCAAAAAATGCTAATTGAGTTAATAAAAAAAGCACAAAAATGGAAACTGATGCTAGCAAAAATTTTTAAACTTGGATATTTCTTTAAATCAGGGGCAGAATGTTAGTGTTACTTTAATGGGTACAAAATAGTGGACAAAATGAACCACGCGCTAAGAAGAGTTAAACTAACAACTGAGAAGCTACTATTAAATACCGTTTGTAGAAAAAAAAATTCATTTCCAAAAATTTATTACGACAAAAACGATAATAAAACTGCCTCTAAGGATTGTAAACTTGTGGGTCCATGATTGACAGTTTGTAATTGCAGCTTTGACGATCCCGCTTCTGATTTGTACTAGATTGTAAAAGCAGACAGTATTTAAATCGATTTGTGTTGGATAATTTGTGACTAAATTTTCTCGAATATTTATTCCTTCCACGGGTAAAAACTGAACGGATACTTTCCAACAGATATTTCAAAATAGCATTATAAAATCTAAAGTCAATAAATAATTCAATAAGTTCCCATATTTTTATCTTTATATACAGTTGAAAGATATTTACCGGTGCTAAAATGAAGTTCTCGAAACAGTCCCTGTATATTCAGAAGTACCTATTACCTAAACTATCTACAAGTCCATTGTTAGAAATAAATTAGTAACGCTCAATGACTATTTAATTTTTCTTTTAAACGATAACATTAAAGCCAATCTGAATGATTTTTTAGGAAAATACCTTTTCAATATGTCCAATTGTCAGTCTTTCAAGATTTTTTTTAATTTTCATATTACTTTGCTTACATTAATACTACTACAATGACTATTTTCTTTATAACCAATTGTTCCATTCTTTAAATTTACCCCTTAAAACTAATCAATTTTTTGTAAGTTCCGCATTTAATAAAAATAAATTGTAACAATTCAAAAAATATTTTTACCAGATCTACTGGAAGATTTCTTCTTCTTCTTCAACAAATAGAAAAACTGTACAATTTACTCTTTTTTCTACATTTTCTAAACAGACACGGTTATTAAAAATATATAATCATTTTTCCCGTCAAACTTAACGTTAATTGCACAAAATTATGCGGGGGACTCCTCGAAGTAAAACAAAATGTAAACCCTATTATTGAAAATAGTTTATTTGGTGTTTTTTCACTTGCAAAAACAATAAATATACATTACACGTTGGCTTCACTGATAAGACCGGTGGAGATTTCGAGGAATACCCCGTATATCTATCTAGAAATTCTGACATACATCTATTTTTTTACAATATTTAAAATGTGCACAGTAAAATGTTAAAGGATTCTTTATGGCACAGAGTTCATATATTATACTAGGATTACTAGTAAATATGTTAGTAACGAATCAAACAAAGGTGTTAACGATTTACAGAGAAAATCATTCTCCTACTTCTCTACCTACATACGAATTACAGAGATATTCTTAAATTTTTCACAATATTCCTAAATATAAATTCATTTTTTTTAAACGGTTTTTTTAGAATATTTTTTCTATCTAAAAACCTGTAGAACGGTATTTTATCAAATATATCAAATTTCAATAGTCCCGAGAGGGATTAAAATTAACGGTAACGGAACAATACTGTCAACACCTTCAAATTAATAATAAAAACATATATGCAATAATATTAATAAGTTATAACAAAACCCAACGTTCACAATATTTCTTTGTGGTAAATTGTACGATGCATTCTCCTTTTTCTATTCCCAAAAATTATTAATACAGTTAAAGTTAAAATAAGTCTAATATTTATAGTGTTATAGTGTATGATATTTGATCCGATTTAAGCGAACGTCAGTTGCCGTTGAAGTCCCGATACTCCTTTTAACGTTGAGCAAAAAAATACTGTAAACGTTCGACTAACAAACATCTGTTACCTTAGTCTAGCTGGGTACACCATCTCGAAATGGTTACTACATTAACTATTTAAAAAAATACTTGAAAAGTAAAATTTCACACCCAAAGTTTTGTTTTTTTTTTGTTTTCGTCTCGCTCCAGTGTCCCGAACACCACACAGTTAAAAACTAAAGATCGTATGTACAAATCCACCTTAGAGAAAGAAAGATCACCGATTGTCTATTGGCACATTGGTATGGAAATAGCGAACGAACGTATTCATGGCGGACATCTATTTCCTGATACTTTTTTTATGTTTTGTGGAAAAATATATCGTATAAAATCAGTTTGGAGCTTGGTTTTTCTGTTTAAAAAAATTATTTGCCTTTGTAAAGTGTACAAAATAGCTGAGACGTTTTTTTCAGTTTTCTGCTGTAGCTGTCAGTGGCTAGTAACTTAGGCTTGAGGTGAACGTAGGCAAGTGTGGTAACTAAGACACAAGCTGCGCAGTGCAGGTACTTTAATAGTGATGCAGGTACGGACTGTTCATTTCCCACCTTCAACTGCAAGAGGAAAACCCCAATATTATCTCCAATTTACAACGGACATTGGGCATTGCATAATTTTATTAAATGACTAGAAAGAATCTATGTAGTGAAAATATTAGAATTAGGTTGCTAATTAATTATTAACTATAAAAGTTTGGCGTACAAAATAAATGTTTTAAGTGGGCAGCGTTAATTCGTGACGTCATTTAGTGCGATTAACAATCGAGAAAAGTAAGTAACAAGAATCTAGAGACAACCAAATTCACTTTGTCTCGAGGCTTCCCACATGCGTATTACTTTAGATAAGTTACTTTTTGTGGGAATGGGAATTCTAGACTAGACTAAATTCGTATAATTGAGCTTCAAAAAAATTCTCGGTACATTTGGGAAATAAAAGAATGTCTCTCTTAATTCGGAAATGTTCTCAAGAAAATAAAAAATCAGATTTTTTGTTATTGCATAAATTGTTAGTGTAACTATTCAAGAATACGCTGCAAAAATTTCAAAACGAAATCCCTGTTCGTTTGGATTTTATGAATCATTTATTAAGCAAGAAAAGAACGGTTGCAAGCTCAGAATGATAAGCTATTGAATATAGGATTTAAAAAAGGAATTATGACGTTCAAGATATTTTATTACGTGAATCGTTCAAATGGTTATTTTAGACGAAAAAACCGCGGAGTGCTATTAAATTTGAGGATGGAAATTGGAGATAGGGGTGAAAATGCACCCCTTTCAGTTTTTTAATTGTAGCTCGAAAACGAAGCAAAATTTCATAGGAAAAATTATTTAGAGAATTGAATTTCCCATCAAAATAGTTTATTTAAAAAATTTAAAAGGAAAATTTTATGCAAAAAAATGTTAATAAACAATTTGAAAAAAAAGCAAAAAATTCGATTCATAGAAAAAAAAGTAGATAAAATTTCCTCCACTCAAACTTACTTAATTTTTCAATTTTCATCGCGTTTACCTTTATACTTTTTAATTCTAATTTTTTGCAAAAAAGGAAGGAAATAAGACATTCAAGGATTTTCATCATATGACTTGTTCAAAGGGTCATTAAAAATGAAAAAACCGCGAAGTGCTATTAAATTAGAGGGTTGAAATTTGAAGATAGGGGTGAAAAAGCATATTTGCAGTTTTTTAAATATAGCACGAAAACGAAACAAAATTTCGGTATAGTTCATAGGAAAAATTTTGTAGAGAATTGAATTTCTCATTGAAATGGCTTATTTAAAAAACGTAAAAGGAAAATTTTATGAAAAAAAATCGTTAATAAACAATTTTAAAGAAAGCAAAAAATAAGATTTTTTTATTATTTTTTACTTTTTTAATAAAATTATTCAGTAAAAACTTGAGAATTTAAGTACAATAATGTTTATTAATGATGTATATACAGTGTGTCCAACGGATGGAGTTGACAAGAGGACAAACTCTTTTGTTTTTGATTTTATTGAAAAGTGTTTCTAAAAAGTTCTGCCCCTCGAAAAAATTAGACTGTCATACAAACATCTTAGATTAGATATACAGAGTGCTCATAAATTAAAAAAACACGAAAATACTCAAGAGAGAAGTACCATTATTTACTATTTTACACAACATTTTTATAAAACAAATCTGTTTATAACCTCAAATAATGTCCTAATACAAATTTTAAAATCAAAATTTCAATTTTCGAGGTGGAAAGTAGCTATACATATAGAGTAAAAGTCAGAATTTAAATGTTTATTTTCTTTTTGCGCAGCCTCAAATATAGCATCAGGGGTTGGCAAGTAATTTTAGGTGGGGTCCGGATACTTTTGAAAATTTTTAACGAGGTCCAGAAAAAAAATTGATATATCTTACTAATTTTTTATTTTAATTTACACTTAAATTTAATCTGCTTACTAACCATTAAGAACTCAAATTAGTCGCATAATTGTAAAATACTAGAAAAAAATATTTTTTAAATTTATTTGAGTAATTTATACTTTCAAAAAATTTTTGGCGGCCACAGTAAATTTTTAAAGTTCACTCTTTTTTTTATTTTTAAATAATTAGATTACATTTATCAATTTGCAATTTAGTTTTTTTCAAAAATTATAATTTTAAAGTACTCGGAAAAATGCTTCTTTTTAAAAAAAAATTTAAATTCCGTTTATTGGTTCTCGAGATATAAGCGGTCAAAGTTTATCGGCATTTGCCGTTAATTTATAAACAATTAGCAATAATCTTTGATCCAGTGGCTTCGTTTTTCCGAGTTCTAAGCTGGAGAAAATGTTCATATCCATAAGTTATTGGCAACATAGATAAATCATCGGAAAAGCTGTCGCTCGCACGCACGAAAAGTGACTTAAACCAAGAAAAGTGGGGGAGGGCTTTTGCTCTGAGACTCTTTTCGGAGGTTCAAAATGGGAAGGTACGAAAAAAATTGCATTATCTCGGCTTCTAATGGACCAATTTCGATCTTTTTTTTTTTAATCAGATGTCTCACGAGCCAAGGAATTTGAATATCATAGTGCCAATTGTCTAATTTGCACATATTTTGTTATAAACAAAGTTTATTATTTATGCATTAAATATACTGTATATTTTACCCTACGCTATTGCATTTTTTCAATGAAAAAATTTATTTACATATACAAGGTGATTCAAAAAACCGCAGACAGACTTCTAGGGGAAGTAATACATGAAAAATTAAGACGAAGTCATAATAAACATAGGGTTGCAAATGCCTCCTTAACGAGATACAGGGCGTTAACCCTTTCGCTGCGCAATACGTCTGAACGTAGCTACCGCGCCGTGCGCGAAAGTTTATCGCGTGCAAATATATACGTCTGGAGTAGTTAGACCACTTATAGTTTTACATTATGTTGTGTTAAATTACGATTTGCGACAAATTTTACGATTTTACGATCTTGGTATTATTACCAGTACCTCTTCCCATGAAAATATTTGTCACAATCGGTATAAGCTCGCCCGCAAAAATTCGCCTTACCAATTGCAATAACCGAATCACTAATGCGCATGGTTGCGAATATATACGGTTTGAGCAGCCTGATCCAATTTAACTATTCATGCGAATTAATCCGTCTGGAGCAGTTTGAGCCCTATAAATTTTTAGCGAATATATACGTCTGGAGCAGTGAAAGGGTTAAA